TTTGTTTGTTTGTAGTATACCTTACATTTATATGTTCTTTGTTATTCAGTCATATTTTATTTGGAAAAAATACAGAAATAAAATAAAATCAAAAAAAATATATACTGCACGCCGGTTAAAGGTATAAACCGGTAGTGGTAAAATTGTGGTTCAAGGGCTTGGGGTGCAAAATATCCATTCAATATTGTTTAAATATTGCCTTCGGAGGTTTAGATGGCAACACTTCAACCTAAATTAGCAACAGAGCAGTAAGATATGCCCAATGTTCAATTTCGAAGTGCATTCGCGATATCTATCCAGGCCGGATCGATATGATAATTACCAATTATATCAATAATTAGGAGGCGGTTTCCCGGCACAATTTGTACATCACGTCGTAGTCAAAACATATTCTTTCACTTGATTGGTATTAAGAGCTTCCATTTCATTTTTTTTCTGCGGCATCTAGCGAGGATCGTCGAATCAATAAATTGAACCATTCAAATTTGCATATGCAAAGAAAGCCATCTCTTTATACCAGACACTTGTCAATGAATTTCAATCGAACATTTAGATAAAATTAAATTACATGGTATATGATGGGGTTGGGAGGGGGGGGGGTGGGTGGATGAGTGTCTAGACACTTAGTATATTATGGGGGGGGGGGGGTGTCTAGACACTTGGTATATGATGGGGGGGGGGGGGGGGTGTCTAGACACTCAAATGGATAGATGTGTTTTGTTGCAGAGGGCGCTACATATAATATTTTTTGTGAGATAATGAAAAACTGAGGGTCAAATTTGAAAGAACATACAATTTAATTGACAAAATCATCTTTGTTTGATCAAAAATTGGTAGAACAAAGTAAGAATAGTCTTATCTACATGAAACGAATTAAGTTTTCTTAAAAAATACATCCTTTGTTGAGCCTTTGAAAGAACGGACTTACACTGCACTGATCAGCCTATGATCAATTACGGTCCTATAGGTACTTGTATGTCTCGACAATATCTATATTTTCTTCTTTTATCGTGATAGGCAATACAACTGAACGTCTGGACGTTCTGAAATCAACAACCATTTCCTTCGTTTTGGAAGTATTAAGTTGAAGAAAATTTGGTTGCACCACTCTTCAAACTTGTTCACCTCCTATCGATAATTTACGTCATCTTTACTTGTGAGACCCACTATCGCCGTATCATCGGCATATTTTACAAGTTTAACGCCGTCTTTTGTAGCTAAGCAGTCATTGGTATAGTAAACAAAGGTGCCGATAGCACACATCCCTGGGGCGAGCCGTTTATACTGTTATCAAATCAGACAACTCATTTTGTACTTTTACCTTTTGTGTAAGATTTGACAAGAAATTCTGTATCCATAAAATTAAAGAAGATCTAATGTTCATTTGTTTCAGCTTATGAACCAACATGTGGTTTTGAATCGTATTAAAAGCGGACGAAAAATCGATAAATAAAATCCGTACATAGCAACCAGCTTTATCAGTGTGTTGTGAGACAAAATAAATAAGTGAAAGTATGGCATCGTTTACACATTTCTTTGGTTGGTATACAAATTGCATAACATCAAGATCCTTTAACACACTAGGGAAGAAGAATTGCAGTACAACCATTGCAAAACATTTCATAACCAGTGAGGGCTATTAATCTGAAATTATTTGGCTGGGAAGCTTGAGGTGACTTGGCTGCTGGGATAACAACAGCCGGCAAAAACAGCTGACCCGTGTATTTTTATTATTAATTAATTAATTAAAGGTCACAGTATTTTTTGAAAATGGAGCTGAATTTGTTTGATGATCGTATTGGTTAGATTTCACACATTTTGGGGTCTAAGATTACCTTCATAGCAAATTTAGGTCCTAAAAGAGCACTAGAAATGTCATAAATAAGAATGAGAGCAATAACCATGCACTTTGGAGGCATTTGCGGTCTGAAACAAGAACTCAACTATCCCTCTAACAAAAATATGGCCTTCTCGTTTGCCTTCAGAATGAACGAAAAAATTCATCAAATAGCACTAACCCCATGATTATTGTCCTTTATAATGTTGCCCAACATAAGCCTTAGAAGATTTATGAAATATTGCTTGTAACCTTTTTCGAATTAACTCAACTGTCCCGATACACACGATAGTGACGATACACTGTCCGGACACACAATATTTGGGTAACAAAATGTATATTATACAAGTTACAATTCCAAATGAGTGACAAGATCATAATTATGAAAGCTTTACTAGTTTGGAGAAACAAATCTCAGAAAATGTTGTTTTCCGCGTATATTTCTCAGGTATACGTCTGAGATCTCTTTTCTTCGTCTATGAAAACTGCACAATATTATTGTGACCTCACAATCCCGGCTCACAATAGACCATTTACGTATTGTAACCAAATCTATGCATACATGTACATGTGTTTGTGAAGGACCTCGAAACAAATTATTTCATTCACCTGTTCCGAATAAATGTATCTCGGTAGTCAGAATTTTAATTACATTCGTTAGTTGTTGCTACATGTACATTTAGGTAGGACAAACTTTTTGGCTTGCCCTACCGAACAACACGTTATGTACCGGTTTGCGATAGGCCGTTTTAGAAAATTGTATTCAAATTTAATGCACAAATCTTTGTTAGTGCCTCGTTCATGGGTGTCGATCCGTAAGTGATACCTATTCATCAGGGGGGATGATCTATTCATTCACCCCCCCCCCATAGCCTCGTTACAAATGATTACATTCACCTGTTAGTTGGGACGAATAATTGTATTTCAATAAATAGTCAGAATGTGAATTGCATACATTACGAGTTAGGTAGGACAAGCCACAATGTTTGTAATATCTAGCAACAATAGGCCATTTTCGTAATGTAACCAAATTTAATGCATAAGTGTTTGTGAAGTGCCTCAATACAAATTATTTCATTCACCTGATAGGAATAATAGTATTTCAATAGTCAGAATGCAACTGCATATATTAAGTGTTGCTAGGTAGGTCAAGCCATAATGCTTGTCCAACCTGACAACAACTAATGTATGCAGTTTGGATTCTGTCTATTGAAATACTATTATTCTTATTAGGTGAATGAAATAATCTGTATTGAGGCACTTCACAAAGACGTATGCATTATATTTGCTTACATTACGAAAATGGCCTATTATTGGTGGATGCAATAATTTGTAACGAGTCACTTAAAGTAGATATTCATTGAATTTAATAACTAATTTTATGTTCATTATTGCAAAGTTGAAACTTTGATTCGACAAGGTTATCAAAATTCAATGCTTGGAAACATTCGAAGTAATGATTATTATAAATTACAAAATGCTTAAATACAGCCCCGGCATAGCACCTGAAGAGCTCTCCGAACGCTGCTGAGAAAATTGTGTGAGATCACAGTATGGACATGATTTGCACAAGCAGACGATGTCCCATGACATCTCACACATTTTCAGTGCCTGTGTTTTCATCTTCTCTTGAGTTCTTTCTCTTACTTCACTACCGTCAGGCTAAATGTATAATCTATTGCCTCACTCTAAACGCCGCGCATGGTTTTATTTTGATGACAAATGCAGCGATACAAAAATAAAGGAATCTGTCGCTTGTAAACAAAATTGTATATTGAGCTGCACACACCGCGGTATGTTCAGCGTTCCAATAGGAAACAAATGCCGTCGTTAGTATCATGCCGGGGGGTTTTCAATTTGAAAGTCTGGTTTCTTTGATTGTTAATTTACCCCTAACCTGTGTATTTACAAGCAAAATATTTCAGTTATCAGAATCGGGTCATATCCACTTTTGAATGGTTTGACATGCCATTACATTTATATACACTAAACTCATTATAATTTGACAATTTATAATAGCTTTGCAATTATGTTCATTCTGTATGGGATGTCGTCTGCTTGGGCAGTATTGGTCCATATAGTGACGGCATTAAAACATCGTTATTTTTCCGGCGAATCTCTCGTATATCCCAGCTGCTATGGAGTTGGTTGTATTTGTATTTTTATAAATCACCCGATATGTAGTTGACCTAAAACTTGTACGAAGGCCATCTGTTAGCTTACCAGTTTCTAGTGATACATTAATTGACATATTTGTGATTTTTTTTTTTTTTTAATTTCACCTTTAACAAAAATTTGTGCATTAGATTGATTACATTATGAAAATGTATTTTGCATTCGGACTCAGCACTGAACGAAATATTACAAAGACATATGCATTCAATTTGATTTCGGTACTAAAATGGCTTAATATTACTTTATCGTTAAATAATTGTAGAGGCCTACTGTTTGTTTTAAGGTTTGAAGTCCTGTCATATAATGTAGGCTGTGTGTTAAAATCATTATTAAAAATTATAAGTCTTATCTATATAGTAAAGATTTATGCAAACGTCGAGATATTTCATTAAATGTGAAATTACAACTGTATGTGTTTTCTACAAAAGTACATGTTCAGCAATGGCTGCAAATCTAGTTTTGTTGAACTTATTTCTTTGAGTTAATTTAATTAAAGCTGCGTGTTACCTTAAATGACGAGAAAGTTTTTGATTCTACTAACATGTTTAGTGTATAATCTAATCTAATCAATCATTTTGTATCCAGCGTCTCCCCTCTCTCCCCCCCCCTCTCTCTCTCTATATATATCATATACAATGCATATCGTTTTTATTATATATTAATGAACGTATGTTTACTTATTCATTCATGCATTAATTTGATACGTTTATCTAATTGATTGATTCTGAAAACTATACACATTAAAACGCGGTCTTTCTTACTGATGGATATGCAGGCCTACCTGTAGATGTCAACATACATACTTGTACGTTTTCACGCTTACATGAAGAAACTGTTTTTTTTTCTTCAAACATCCTCGATCTAGTTTTCATCGCGTGTTTCAATTTTAAACTTCAAAACTTCCACAAAAAGAGGAAAATACACATGTATAGGGATACACTCGAAAGATGTAGCTTCCCTACCATTTTCATTTCATTTTTTTTTGCAGGATGACAGGTGTTGCCAGGAGTATCCAATCTTGTTCCAGAATGTAGATATTGCAGAGATGTACACCCTGGAGTATGCAGTCTACCATCTTCGTCCGTTTGGGATAGGTAACTACACGTGCACATCATCGATTCTTGGACTGAGGTGATGACGTCTGCGACCTTTCGCCACAATCAGTATGGCCCAATAACTCTCAAATATATGCCAGGTGCCTGACCAGAAATAAAGGGGGAAAAGGGTGTGAGTCCGGTCATTTAACAAAAATAAAGCCTTCTCTTTTGCCCTTGGATTTAATGCAAGATATTCATCAATAGCAATAACCGTCATGAAAATCAGTTCTTTATGATATTGTCCTAGATACGTTTTAAAAGACTAATGAAATATTGCGGTAAAGTATGTGTGTGAAATAGCCTGTCTAGATAACCAACGCAGCCCGGATGCGCATATTTTTTTTTTACACAACTGTTTAGCCATTTTCGCGAAAAAACTCCAAGAAGTGCTCTGGTATAAGAGTCTAAGTCGTCAGCGCACTATAATATGCGCAAGCACGTACACCCAGGGAAGAGAAGATGATAGAAAGGAGAAAACAAGGATATAGTGGAGAGGATAAGGAGAAGGACTAACACAAGGAAATACATAAGGAAAGAGAAGAGGATAAGTCAAAGGAAGAACATAGAAATATATAATTGAGGAGCTAAGAGGATCATAGATCTAGACTAATACAAAGAAGGAGAGGGGGAATCTATCAGATTAAAACAAAGAAATAGATGACGAAGGAGAAAAGGACAGATTGAAGGGGAAAAAAAGAAAGAAATACATGACAAAAGAGAAGAGGATAGATTGAAGGAGAACATAGAAATACATAATGAAAGAGAAGAGAGGATAGATTTAACCTGAAACAAATAACGAATATGTACACATGCATGTACAGTGCCCATATCCAACAAAACTGCTAAGGGTAATGCTAGACTCTGTCTCTAGTCGTTTGAACAGTATATTTGACTGAAGTGGCTAAACGGTCAGATGAGCATATTTTGATACATTATTTGTGATACTGGTAGGTCACTAATTTGGAGTGAGGTCTAGAGGGCGGCGCCCCCAGAAGCTCAAGGGTTTTAAGCATCACATTACGACCAGGCTGATGAGCATCTACGGGCCCGCCTAATGGCCCTCGGTGGGGTCCAGGGGGGGGGGGGGAGGGGGAGGGGGGAGCCCCGGGAGCCCAGGGGGAAAAAATGCCATTTTAGCAACATTTGTAAATTGCTGGTATCAAATTAGAAATAAACCATGTTTGATTTTATTGGGAAGGGGGGGGGGGATGTTACTGGTCCCCCTATCAGTACGCCAGTAAAAGGGGAGGAGGTGACGGAAGTGACTACCCCCATAGAGCTATATGATAAGTCTTATTATATAGCGCTATGCTACCCCCTCACAGGTTTGTTTTATTACAAAATTACATTCTTTAGCAAAACCATAGTATAAAAACAAGCAAAATAATCTTTACACACCTCAATTTTACTTTGCCGGTATCTTTAGTTTGCAGTCCGAAGGGTTGTAAATATTTATTAGGTAAATGTTAGTAAGTAGGCAGGAAAGGATTTTTTTAAAAGAGCAAGCTGAATATTCATTTTTGTATCACAGATCTATTTCTATAAATCTTAATCTTGTGAACATACAGTGTAAACTGTGCCTACGTGATACCAACATATACATATTTTTCTACAATATTTACTCGTACATTTTGAAGGATATTATGCGAGGGAGCGTAGCGACCGTGTGAGATTTTTTTTGCATTTGTATTAGTCTAAACGCTGCACTCTTGGGCCCTTCAGATCCCCCCTACAAAAATTGAGGGGGGAAGTGTCCCCCCCCCGGGATCGCCGCCCCTGACTTGCACATTTTGCTCTCAATTGCAGAACGCTCTAGCTGTGTCCAAGGAAATAGATCCTCGGAAGGTGGGGCATCTCTGAAAAGACATGAGGAAATATATGTGGTGTGTGAAAAGCCAGGGAAGGACACAGACACAAAACCTCCATGGGTGAGGTTTGACGTATGTGGACGTTGGCTCCACCTACTTTGTGTTACGCCCCAAAACGTATCCACAAAGAAGGACTACGTATGCCCTTTATGTGAAGCGACCTATCAGTAAACCTCCATTTTAGGCCACAGCCCATGGGCCAGTACCCAAATTTTCACATATCGGTCCCTTTCTGGATTGCCCCCTGTCCCCCTAAGAAAAAATATTTTCAAATTGTTACATGTGTGCACAATATATATTGATGTGTCAACCTAACGGAGGTGGTGTTTTCATAATGATTATTGACCTCTTTTAAATTAACATATATATGAAAACTTTAGAAGACAACTGTTACAGTCTAACTAAGAGTGTTGGGCATGCTTGAAAGCATCTTATAATCTGTCCTGACGATAATGTTCAAATTCTGAATACTTTGTTGAAAAACTTTCTTGCTGGTAATAGTGTATGCATGTTAATAATTTTTTTTACATTATTATTATTATTATTATTATTATTTATTCGACCATTCATATATAAAAAGCACAAATACAATACAGCATAGCAAGAGACAAGTACATAATAAGGATTAACAAAGAGATAAGGGAGCAGCAAGTGGGTCAGGGTGCACAAAAGTGAAGTTCATCACTGTTGCCCGGAGGCATGTGCCCCCACACATGCTACTTCCAGTACATAATTAAAAATTCTTTACATAAAATATTGCATATGTTAAAAGATGGAAGATAACAAAATAAGGTGGAATAAAAATTGAATATAAAAAAGTTAATTTAAAAAATGATTTAAAGAAAATATTAAAAAATGCTACAATTTACAAAAAATTTATACCTCCTCAATTCAGAACATTCAGCACAAATATAATCCTAAAAACCATTATTACATAAGTTGCATGAAATGAACATAGCATTCAAGATATTATTCTATGAAATTGAGTATAACTGGCAAGGTACATGTAGGCATCATCCTGATCAAGAGCAGGCATGCAAAGGATTTGAACAAATATGTAATAATACAGTGTGAATTTTAATAAGCAAAGTACTGGTAGGCTTCCAAAATAAACATTATGAACAGAATGTTATAGATGATATTGCAACAACAGCATGTGTATATATTATTATTGAAAATGAATCTGGAAAGACTGGAACATAAATAGAGTTCATCATAATATAACCTACAGTAAAAAAAAAGAATCAACACTACATGGACATACTGGATAAATTAAGATAAATTACAAGATAAAAACCTACAAACAGGAAATAGTTTCAAAGCCACATATACATGTATGTACTCAACATGACTGTATGTTATGATATATGCCTGACAGGCAATGGCATTCAGGAGAGATGTTATTATTCGACACGTCATTCACATTCCTATCCATAAGCGTAACGATTTGCTTCAGTATCATAGAACAAATATAACAAATGACAAGTACGGTTTTCCTGAAAATTACATTACAATGTATATTCATCGTTATGGAAAATGTTGAATAGTATACAACAATGGGCAAATATTATTGTTTCCGGACCGACCAATGATTTAAGTGAGAAGAACTTACATTTAATATTGAAGCTGTTGCCGTTTGTATATACATGAACTTGAAATAATAAGTAGCCTTGAAAGTGTCACAATATATCATGTGTAAGTGACCTTGAAGTTTAGGGGCCTAAACAAAAAAGATGTTGTATTGCCCTTTGCGACCGACCCCAAAATCTTGAAATCTACAGCTGGCTTTTTTTTTAAAACCGTATTTTGGGGGAAAATGTGTATTGAAGCATTCAAAACTGAGAAATATAAGCCCAAAGAGGGAGTTATAAAAAAAAATATAAAAAATTCTGACCGACCGACCCATGTTTTGGCACCTAAATGGCAATACAACATCTTTTTTGTTGTTGTATAGGCCTAATGATAAGACTAACACCCAGAGTGTTGGCTTCTGTAAAAATCGTAGGCTATCGCACCACTGGCACGACACTGCGATGCTGAGCTGATTTAGTTTAAAAACCATTGATATTCTGATTTTATTAATCATATGAAATCATCTGTCAATTATATTTTAGAAGTTTGAGTGTTCATTTCAAATGCTATAATTGCAAATATACTATTTTCGTAATGTAATCAAATTTAATATATATACACACATATATATATATATATATATATATATATATCTTTATTTGGGCCATATGGTACAACTTATTTCATTTACCTGTTACAAATATTGTAATTATCAAGAATGAGTAGTGTGACAACGTCCTTGTTTTCACGAAGTGACGGTAGTGAGGAAAATCGTAACGCAAAGTGATTGCAATTTTTTTTCACTACCGTCACTTCGTGAAAACATTTTTAGTAAACCAGTGTATTGTTTGTTATGTTTGATGTATCAATTATGTTACTACAATCACTTACTTTAGTTTAGCCGGGTCTTTTGCGGTTTCCTATGGTTTGATCGACCAGTACTACATTTACCTATATCTAACAGCCACATTTTACAACTATTTTATTAAAAATATTCTACCATGTGTATGTTTTGTTTATTTATCGACTGAAATTTCAAATTTACTCAAATATCTTTCGAGTGGATACAGGATGTATATATTTTTTGGAAATTAGTCAAGTTATAGATATCATGGGGTAATATACAATTCGATATAATAAAATGAAAAATGCCATTCATTCTGAAGTGTCTTGATGTCTGTGTCCACACGTGCTCCCGAAAATTCTTGTGACCTTTTCTTCCTTGTCAAAAGTTATATCAATAATTTTAAGCATTTTTTTTAATTCTTGTAAATCTTTTTGTTTATATTTCTCATAATTTGTATTGATTCTTTTTTCTTCAAAATGTATTTCCACGTCAAGATGAAAAAAAAGCAAATTTATATACAAACATATATTATAATCAGAAGTGGAAGGATCATGAAAAAGCACATCAAATAATGGCTCGTTAAAATTAATCCTCACAAAATATACAAAATAACAATGAAGTTGATACATAATTTACATCAAAAATCAAGAATACTAGCAATACCAAAAAAAAGAAAAGAAAGGGAGATAAAGAAAAGGGAGAAAAGAAGAGGAAATCTATTGGCATTACAAAAAAAATCTTCTACAGTATGTAAATTTATATCATAAATCTTCCCGGCAAATTTCATTTAAAAAAAACACGAAAATGCAAAACAAATACCTGAAATATTTTCACTATTTTGGTCCTTTTTGTTAGGGGGAGGGGGGGGGGGTTAATACACTACTTTTAGTATAGACAGTAACAAATCAAAAATAAGAATGGATTTAGCTATGACAAACAACCTCTTCAAAATATATCAAACTCTTATACATTTATTAATTTACATTATGTGCACACGTGTTATATAATTCTGTTTAGGATCACATTCACCAACTTCTTATGTTTTGTTTTTCCAATCCACCATTGTGTCAACCCTCGAGTACGTCCTTTCAACACCTTATATCGCTCACACAAAGCCCGGGCACAAAGCGAGTTGAAATAGTTTTAGTTTAATTTAGCCAAAGAGATATTGCTGGTATCTCATTGGTTTAGCAAAATCCGCAAACGCTTACAGTGTTCATTTTAACATCGACGTGGCAAAGGAAACCGTGAGGTGGCGCTATTTAGAAACTCAAATTCAGTTAACACACGGTAAACAATTGTTAGTCGCGTCGAATCCTTCATATTCACAGATGACTCACATGTATCAGCAGACACAACATACATTGCTGACACTGTGCTGAAAATAACATTGTCTAATTTTACCGTTTTGCCCTATAAAGTGGCGTGTCCAGGAGCGGTTAAACATAGGGGGTGGGCACCTTCAGAACGTACAAACAAACAAACAAACAAACAAACGAATCCTTCCCTGCAATGAGGCATATGGTGTCCAGGCAAGCGGATTGAAGGAGAATAAAGACAAGAGTAGGGGAGAATCTTTTGATCTAACATCAGCTCATCTCTTTGTAAAAGTCGTAAATTTGTTGAGAGAAGAATTTTATAAATCACAGATACTGTACAGAACTCGTGTCGAGGACGTTTGTGGACAAAAATACTTGTTTAAACCGAGCCTCGCGCAGCCCAAATAAATAGAGTTTAGCCTCTAATCTATATATGCCCGAGTCCCTGTCAATGACCCTTACAATGGCTTAGCCACGGGGCATTGCACTATAAGAATACGTTCTACCAAATCGACGACGGGAACAATATGTCACAGTAATACAACATTAAACACAGAGAGAGAGAGAGAGAGAGAGAGGGGGAGAGGGGAAAGAGAGAGAGAGAGAGAGAGAGAGTGAGAGTGAGAGAGAGAAAGAGAGAGAGAGAGTGTGAGAGAGAGAAAGATAGAGAATGTAGGGAGGAGAGAGAGAGAGAGAGAGAGATTGAGAAAGGGAGGGAATATTAAGAAGAAAAAGAAGAACTTGTGAAGAAGATGGCATGACCCCCTTTGGTTACACTCCGTCATATTTCTGTCAATTTATAAGAACAATGCGCCCCCCCCCCTCTCCTGAACCGTCTCAAAGCTAAGCCACTGCCCTCAGACACCACTTCCTATAGTTTCCGTTTCTAAAGTTTCGGGTGAATTGTTGTTCATGTCCATCATCACTGTGATTACCTAAAAGTCCAACGATTTCCCAAACTATAGTACCCCCCCCCCCGAAAAAAAGAGAAATGGTCAAAGGTACCGTATAGGGGGAAAAGGAGGGGAAGAAGGAGGAAAGGAAGAGGAGGAGGGGTGAGAGGAGTAGAAGAAGGGTGGATAGAATGAGGAGGAGAAGGAGGAGAAGGAAGAGGAGGAGCGGAGATAAAACAAACATAAACCAGAACAGCAGTGTTAAAATAGAGTAAATGCTGCTTCGTTGAAATTCACTCTTGGAAGTTTAGCTGAAAGTAATCAGTTGTGACACCATGTAATTAAAAATCAGAGGGGTGCGGGCGTAGGGGGAGTGGGGGGAGCAGCTAGGCAGGAATACAGAATGTTATATTGGGCGCAGAACGAAAATCATGTAAATCATAACTTAGGACAAACCTTTAATAGGCAGGAGGAAAAAATATATCTTGACAATGGGAGTGGGCCGAGGCTTCCCAACGGATGGGGGGGGGGGGGGGGGGGGTATGACCTCTTATATCCCCTCCTTAATAATATTTAATCATAATCATGCCTCTATAACCGACGTCCATGACCAGCACATATTCGTAAAATTGCATTTCATCATTATGATTTCAGACGGTGCGGAGCCTCGATAACTCTAACAATTTATCAATTAAGGACGTCTTGAAAGATATTATACTGCTCTGTGCTAGTAACTCCATGATATTGCACATGGCTCGACAACTTTTAAAGCCCCTCTAAAGTGTTGGGAGCCCCAAAACCGCCAACAGTTTGATGGCAACATTTCCCTAAATTGTATCATAATGTGAAAGAGAATGTCATTTAAGACACACTTCTGCAAAGATCCCCCCAAATGTGTTTGAAGACACATATTGATAATAGAATACATAATTTGAGTTTTCTGTTGTACGCTGAAAACCTAAATTTGTATTCTTTCATCGTTATTTTAAACACATTTGTTTTGAAAATCCTTTGCTGAAATGTGTTTTAAATGACATCCTATTTTACATTATGATACAATTTTAGTGAAATTTTGGCATCTAATTTTGGGGTTCGGAACACTGTCTTTAGAGGGGCTTTAAACTCAGAGAACAGGAGGTTAGATAAACCACCATGACCGCTGCACATGACACATTCTGAGTCAATTATCGTATAGTTAGCAAACCAGGTGAATCTAATCGTAATTCCCAAGCACACATTACGGATTTTTTCCCTTCTACTTTTCCCTCGCCTATTTTTGTGAATTAAAAAAACGTCATATCCAAACCGGCGACCAATATCTCGTCCGCAATTTTCTTCTCCCATGAGGGTTGTGTTTTCACTGACGTGTTTGGGAGCCAGGATCCTAAGGGAACCGGGGATGTCACTTTCAATTGCACTGATATCCGGTGTGGCTTTTCCTGCCTTAATAGAGTCTGGACAACATTGTGTAGGCCTATTTTGCTCCGACAAGCTTCCAGCTCAGTAACCGGGCAATGCACCATATTGGAGATATGGTGTTATGCATGCAGACAGTCGTGTCTACTTGATAACTTGTTATCTGTCCATCGGAACTAGATCTGGAAACTATCATTTTCTCTCATAACTGCTTGCTCTGGCTATTCTTCTGCTTTCTAACCATTATCTATCATGCAAGTCACGAGTATTCAGTGCTAGTGGGTCATACGGGGATCGTAAACGTGTAGCGTCTTAGATGCTCGATCGTCTGATTGTTGTTCATCGACTTGGATACATCAGATGAGTGTTATACATCTCAGTCTCTGCATACATTAATCTCAACGGCCTTAAAACATGGAAAGGAGAATCGTCACCGTGATCGTCCTTTTAAGCGCGATTCTATGTGGTGCGCTGAACGAGGAGGCGACAGGGGAAGCCTCGGAGACGTCGGCCATCAGGGCCACGGTGGACACTGATGGCAACGACACCATTAATATCACCGCGGGTGAAATGGACGTTGACCAGGAGGACAGTGACATCGACAACCAAGAGAGGTTTGTTTGTAGACCCCACATCACGATCCAGACGCCTCCTGTACCAGCACCGATATCAAGAGCAGGACAATGTGACTGCAATTGCAACAGCAGCAGCAGCAGCAGAAGTAGTGGGGACGCTGCGAACGCACAGGAGGAGAAGCAGTCGGCGAGCCTGGCCAGGCAGCTGCGGGAGCTTGTTCAGGAGTGTCGGTCTGGGGGAGGTGGAGCAGGAGGAGGAGGAGGATTGGACGGAGGATGGAGGCGTGCTGGAACGCAAGATGAAACCAGGCGTTTGGCTGAAGCTTTGGTTGACCTTGCCACCGTTCTCAAGAACTTCCAGACACCAGGGGTTCCTGTGCCAGGTATTCACTCTCTACTATTATGCCAATGTTGTATTCATTTATAATAATGTCTCATGAATGACCTAAGGAGTGTGCCTAGGGTTAAACAAAAGTTTTTTGCTAAACAGCGAACAACGATGCTTTAGGCTTATCCTTAATGGGATTATTATCATAAAAAGCATAACACTTTTGGCGACAAAATAACCCTTTCAGCCTGATTGCTTTTGCAATCATTCATTTTTTTTTATTTGGGGGGGGGGGGGGGGGGGGTGGGGAGGGTGGGGAGGAAAAACAAAAGAACAAATTGCAAGAGTTAAACAAAGTTTTCATGGTTTATGTGTGTGTATGGGGTCAAAGTACTTTTTCCATTTTGCATCAAGTTATTTGCATTTCGTACTGTCATATAGCGCTAAATGGACGGTTGGTTTTGCAGAACTATTTGTTATGATGGAAAACAATTACAAAGCTTAAGCGCTTATAAACATCAGGATTTAGAGAGTCCAAGGCTTTATACAAATGTTATTTCGTCCTTCCCGCACCGGCCTTCATATTATTTATCTGATATACTATCCGCCTTAAAAAAGAAAGTTGTTATCTTATTCGTTTATAACCTAAATGCATTCCAGCATCATTGTTATGAAAGGAGATCTATCAATCAACATGCACGGCACAAATTTACTTCGATCTACCTAGCAGGTAAACGAATATTATATGAAATGGGTTTTTCAACCACAAGAATTACATTTAGTTAATTTATAATATTTTCACACCACGTACAGAATCAAGCGAAGGTGAAATCATGACCATGAGAATAAAAACCAGGGCGGTTTGTAAGAAGAGCGAGATGGAGGAGGGAGTAAAGGGGGTTATGCAGACTTGTAAGACTTCTAAGAGAGAGAGAGAGAGAGAGAGAGAGAGAGAGAGAGAGAATGATAGAGAGAATGATAGAGAGAGAGATAGAGAGAATGAGAGAGAGAGAGAGAGAGAATGAAAGAGAGAGAGAGAGAGGGAGAGAGAGAACAAGGTGTGGGGCTAAATCCCTAAATGCTTCATAATAAAAACAAACAATATTCATTCAACCCTAAGGGTCTCTCTTTCATGATATTAACATACATGTGAAGGCGATTAATCCAATGAATCAAACATAAGCTATACATCCAGGATTGATTTTAAAAAGTTTGGCGTCCGAACCCCCTACCCCCCTCATTACGCTTATCCCCTTACGATACAGTCTACTACTGAAAGTATAACTGCAGTTTTATTTCTTGTTCTTGATGATGTAGCCTGTCTTGCTGTTATCTTTTTATTGATGTTCTTATTGTACCTCTTCTTCCTCTTCTACCTTTTCTTCTTCTACATCGTTTTTGTTGTTGTTCTGGTTCTTGTTGCTCCTCCTCTTCTACTTCTTTTCTTTCTTCGTCTTCTTCTTTCCCTTTTTCTTCTCCTTTCCTAACTCCGAGGTTTCCTTCCTCCACTTTTCACTAAACATCAATCAAACTTTATGATGTAAACTTTACAAAGGCCTAATCATGTACTGGCTCTGCTTTTAATTTAGGGTCCTCAAATGTTATCTATGCTTTTCTTATCTATATGTTATGTAAAACTCTTTACTTATATTTACCATAAGTACGATACATTTACTTCTATTTACCATACGTTATTCTTGTTCTATGTGATCCACCGCGTTGAATGTTTTGATACTCTTCAGCTTGTATGAATCTAAATTGATTTTGATGTAAAGGTGAAACAAACTCCAAACTTCTAAACTTAGATAATCGTGATAGTGATTGTTGATTTTCAGACACTCATTTCCTTATGTGGAGGAAGTTATTACGCTTGAGGTATAGATTAGTGGTTCAGAAATTTATCCCATGCTCTATCACATTGATCCACAAACGATATGAAAGGCAAAGATCGGATACTGTACTCAGTGGCGTAGTGGAGGTCCAGTCCATAGTCGTGGTGGTGGTGGGGGTGGTGGTGGAGGGGAGGGGGGGGGGGGGGGGTCGCGGTACTAATTTGACTAGAACTTAGCAGTGCGAAAGCAAGGGATAAGAGTAACTAAATGGGAAAGGGTTTGTAAGAGAGTGTATCCCCCAAATATTAGGAAATTATTTTCATCTCCTCAAGGCTTTCCTTTTACCATTTCATTTTATCGTCCGTTGTTTCCTCTTCCGGTAGGGAAAGGGGTGTTCCTTTCTTGTCTGGAATATTTGTATTAGTCAGAAATTAAAGTGACTCGGTAACATTGTTGAAGGTTGAAAAAAACTGTGTAATTTTTGTATGATATGTTACTTATTATATTCCTTCTACTGTACTTACCCTCTGACAGGCAAAAGATCCTAACAAATACCTCAAACCACAAAGATATTTATGGTTTTCTTTGAAGGCGTCACTGTGCAATACCCTCTAACAGTGATTAACAGTAAATTCTCCCAACCATTTTTGAATTTTCCCAACCGTTTTCCCTCGAAAATAAGACATAAGACGGGCTTTAAAAAAAAATCTTTCAACACTTAAATGTCTGGAATTGTATAAAGAGCCAATTCATTGCTTTGTGACGATTAACATTCACCTAAAATGTAGTTAAATTGTAATAATATAGTTGGGAGAATTAAGGAATCGATCGGATCAGTTTTTCCCAATTTTTATCATCAATAATGGTCCGTTTTCACTCAAACTTTCAGATTATCTTTAATTGTACATCTAGCGTTGAAGTCAATACCTTATAATACCTCAGCACCATTTTCTCTCATCTGAACGATGTTTCCAAGTCCCTTTAACGTTTTGAAAATTGCATTTGTTTAATGTAATTTTACAGCAAAGAATATACAAGACAACATAAAAACTAAAATGTAGACGGCCTTGCTGCCCGAAAATGTGTTGATGGGTGCCAGAATATTCGCAATTTCAAATTTAAATAACGTGGGATGTATACAGCCCCTCGCCTAGTACGTTTATGCATATTACGCTACACATCTTCATATTAGAGCTACAATTTTGAAGCCATTGCTGTCAAAGACAGGGTGGTTGAACTATCATATAGATATGACGTCATGCTGAGTAACAAATCGGATAAATGCAACTCCAACAGAGAATTTGAGAAGGTAATATAAATGTAACAATGGCTTAATCGAAAGAGATATTACTCTGTGGTAAATAACAGGTTAGAGGTGGTATTCAGACTAGGCCTGTTTTCACTATCTCGAGATTGCCAAGTATCCAGCTATTTGAACTATCCCGATCGACAAACTATACAGCTAATTTGCGTCTTCATCAGACCGAAGTAGCAATTAGCGGGATATTTGGTCGGGATTGTCATCCCAAGATATCTTGGGATAGTTTTCAAAATATCCCACTAATTTGGCAAAATATCCAGCTATTAATTTTGTCCGCGCGGTGCGTCCTCACCAGACCGTAGACTCGCACTATGCGCTAACGCTGAGCAAAATATCTTGAGCTAATTTCTCAAGGTCGAGTTTAAAGTTTCGAGGTCGAATCTAGAGCTAACGAAGACGCGATTTGTAACTTCGGGATTATGTCCCAAATCAGAAATAACGGGCTATTTGGCAATCTCGAGATGATGAAGACGCGCCTGAGGTGGTGGTCCTTCCCCTTCGATGTGATTATTGATTTCAAGCGAAAACAACAAGTAATACTCGAATAATGTTATAGCAACTCTTTGCGACACGATTAGAATGTACGCTATTTTGGATACGTATGAGCAGGTGATAGGGCGTGGTGATTTGAGAGAATTATTCACGAATTAACTCTTTTAACTCCATGTCGATTTAAATTGTTATACAATTATGTAGCAAATTAAACTAAAACCCCTGAAATGATACAGATTTGATAACGCCCCAAACTTTACCACCCGTTTTCTTTGATGTTATATTTGAAAACAGTACGAGACCAACCATTTGAAGCTGCTAATATGTTTCTGTGTAATTTTCTTTTAACTTACTGCTACCAGGACGTGGTCTTTCTACTTTACGTTATTCAACAGACATACTATTTTTCTCTTGTTGATTGGCTAATGAATATCTAGGAGGTCAGATAACTGAAGCTCTCTTTTATTACCATGAAACATCTTTACACGTCGTTGATCTAGAAATATATACCAAGCGGAAATAATAATGGAAATCCGCTGGTGCTTCAGGGGTCAGTGATGTTATTGGTGCAGCTTTTGAGACCTTTCAAGCTAGGGCCCTGTTTCGCAAAACCTGTTATCAATAATTGTTATAAGCTACTGAAATTCTTACATTTAATTGGTTTATGAGTAACTTTGGATACAAAGTTTTATGAAACAGGGCCATTGTCAAAGTGAGTTACGCTTACACAGGCACACATCAATCAGAAGGTTTACATAATGCAGTGGTATAGCAGTTCATTCACTTAGCATTCAATCCAAAGGATGGGGGTCCGGAAGCCCCTACTACATCTGTATTTGATTCGCATATGCAAGGGTGTATTTGTATTGATTTTTATTGTGTATTTTGTATTTCATTTAGTGATGCCCAAACCCGGACATATTTAAAGGAAGCCTCACCCCATATGGCTCCGAATAGTCATTGGACAACGCCCCCTACCGTCAGAGTTCAGCAGCCTAACATGTTAGCCTATGGACTTTTACCCCCCAAATCGTTAAAAATTCATATTTTGTTTAAACGAAAAGCACATCCATCCCGACGTACGTTGACACTAGCTCTTTCATTGGAACCCTCATGTCCCGTTGACTTTTGAAAGTTCACCCACCGTAATTTGGTCAAAAAAGGTCGCTAGCTCGCCATTGCCTATATAACACATGTGAAACAAGTCGAACTTTGGACGTAATTTGCCACGCGATTGTAAGGTTATAGGTCAAGCACACGAAGGATAACAAGCATAAATTATCATAGATCAGTTCTGAATGGTTCATTTTGTCTATTTAAGCCAAGCCCCACCGTAATTTTTCCATTTAGTATAGGCAAGCATTTTGCCGAGGTAAGCAAAAACATGAATATTCATGATTGCCATGGACTATTTGATTATTTACAGAGGGGTGCAATCAAACTCCCCTACTTTAAAGGTAAAGACCAGTATTGGAAACGCCCCAATTTCAAAAAATGAAATGGAAGCTCTCATTACCAATCATGTGAAAGAATATGTTTTGACTAATACATGATGACAAAAAAATTGCCGGGAAACCGCCTACTAATTCATATATTTGATAAATTTGTTTCTCTCATGGTCTGTGAGAGATATAGGGTAGTCCCATATACATCTTTCTGTGTATAGTGCTTGTAACTTTACGAAGAATGGGCCAAATTTCTTATCATTTTGATGATTCCAGAACCTTGCAGATGCTAGATGCTAGATGATCAACCTTTTCTGATCGATTCCACAACGTTTCTTTCACAATGCAATCTCATGACCATAACTGGTCTTTACCTTTAAGTCAAGTATTTCATTGTATTATGTAGTTTGGTAGTTTTGTTTTACTAACTGTTTAATTATCAGATATCAATGATAGTTCAAAGATATGGAAAAGGTTCTTGTATTTTATATTTAGCAAAGCAATCTCACATACAAAATCACTATCAAGTGTCGTCTGATCCGCCGATTACCGTCTGCTATATACGTTCAAGGCACATTTATCTGTGGATTGTGATGTAAATCAACAGTTTACTCGTCATTGTAGATTTATGATTAGCCATCTGTCATTATTAGTCTTTAATTGTTGACACACATACAATTACCACACACACGAACACTCTCATGACTTCCCCTCCCCAACACACCATTTCCGCACACCCGGTTCACCCAATGGCATACACCCTGCAACATAGGGGAACATTCCAGTTTGGTAGTGCCGTCGAACTAGCTACGTTTGTACTGGCAATAGTCCAGCAAGTGAAAATGAGACAACCGGAGCAATATGCAAAGAATGTAAAGTTATTTTGACAAATGATATGTATTCCTGCCGTCTGATGTATAATATTCCTTACGAAATTGGACAAGATACATAAAGATATTCTTTGCATGATGCAATGCCTTTTAGCATGACATGGGCGAGGCGATTTTCCTTGAAAATGTGACGTACCAGACGAAGGTGTACATGTGTCATGCATCAATCTTTAGTTGGAAAGACTTTCCTAATTCAGTAACAAAACCTTTACTTTTCGATGAGAGAAAACCATAGATGAGAAGATAAAAGTTATATTTGGTGAAAAATACATAAATAAACAGTTGTAACTCATTCATTCAAAACACTAAAATAAAGCAGTTAACAAATCTTCACCCCAGAAGTGCATCAACTTAATTGTGCAATTTGCAGCTTGGCAATTGGCAATTTTCTAAATGTAATCATATTTACTGCACAAATCTTTGTAAGGTGCCTCGTTACAAATTATTTCATTCACCTGTTATGAATAATTGTATTCCGAAAGTCAGAATGCGAATTGCAAAAATTACGTGTTGTTAGGTAGGACAAGCCTTGTTTGCCCTACCTAGCAACAATTAATGTATGCAGTTCATAATACCACGAACACGGTGTTCAATGAATATCATTTTGACTTTAGAATAATAATAAAATGTAATCACCTAACTTAACATTTTGTTCTCTTCTATATTTTCTTTGCAGGTTCAATATTATCATTGCCTAAGGATTGCTCCGAGGTTTTATCACGAGGGGCTACAAACAGTGGGGTGTATACCATACAAACTCTGGACTCTGGTAGACCGTTCCAGGTCTACTGTGATATGGATACAGACGGAGGGGGCTGGACGGTAGGTACCCTGGCACCATGTTGTTTTCGAGTTTAACCCCCCCCCCCCCACCCCCTCCACACTTTAAAAATCTTAGTGGCGCTAGTGGCAAGTGGCATCTGGGTCCTGTTTCATAAAACTTGTTATCAAGAACATGATAATTAGTATGAACTACTACAATCCTGATATATGATCTTTGACAGTTGTAATAACAAGTCTTATGGAACAGGACCCTGATGCAGTAAGACTACCAGATCTACAATTTTTTATGTCATGGATTTCAGCCTAAGTAGTATATATAAGGTATTTAGCTATTTTGTTCACCATGTCATAATAATCTGTTACTTCTAACTAACATACAACGGTTTATAACATTTTGCACAAAGTCGGGAGAACTAGCACGGGACCTATTAAATTCTAGGTAAAGGTTCTTATATGAGTGAAAATGGCGTCACTGCTATATTTTGTTGGGGAGGCGAAGACTGACGCATCGCCGGAAACATGTAAAGTGGTAAATCTATATGGGAAAATATTCTTCCGATATTTCTATTTGCAGACAATACCATTGTCAAAACAAAAGGGATACAGGCTTCTTTAAAGCTTGGTCATGTATTGGTTAATAATTTGTAGAGGTGTTGTGGTCGAGTGGATACGTCACCGGACTATCGATCACAAGGTCCGCGGTTCGAGTCCACTAATGTCCTTTTGGCAAGACATTGATCTACATTTGCCACACTCAACCCAGGTGAGGTAAATGGGTACCTGGTAGGATTAGGATAAGGCTGATAAGGCTGCCGGAGCTAAAGCTAGGGTAATAAAGTCCAAAGTTCTTTGGAAGCGCATAGAGATGTTATTTCATAACGTATTATGCGCTATACAAGAACTGAACTATTATTATTATTATTCATAGTAGAGGCAGAAAAATTAATATCCTCTCCCCTGATAGAGAATCCATGGTTCATCGATCATTGAATAAAACTGAATGCCAATCTGTATTGTGTATGATATCGTATGCTTGTTTGAGTATTCAATTGATACAAAATATGATAAATAATCTTGTGTACCACATCTTGCGTCAGGTTCTGCAAAAGCGACAGGATGGGTCGGTTGATTTCTTCCGAAGCTATGCTACCTACCGACGCGGCTTCGGGTCACTAACTGGTGAGTTCTGGCTCGGGAACGACCAGATTCACCGTCTCACCTCCCAAGACGAGTACCATCTGAGAATAGATCTGGAAGATTTCGACCACGAGACCGTGTTCGCCGAGTACCGTGTCTTTAGGGTAGCAGACGTCAACGAGGATTATAGGGTGACGGTCAGCTCGTACCATGGCACAGCCGGTAGGTTTCAAGGAGTCGTAAATACCTCTTTTAAGTGTAATTATGTTTAGTTAAGAAGTTTACTTCAGTTCAGAAAGCAAAAGACAACATCGATAAAGGTGGAATAACTTTAAACATACTGCCTTGTTTCACGGGGAAAGCAAATTGATTTTCATAATGGAAATGTCGGGTTGGTCCACCTTGGTGACCTAAACTACCTAATGCGGATCCGGGGGGGGGGGGGCGGGGGGGGGGGGGGGTGTGCAAGCTTATCCATTGCTGGATAATGCACTCATGCTTTGGTCCTTGTCATTATTTGTACTTTATTTCGAGGTTGCATGGACACCAATGTATTGTATTTAGTAACATTGTCTATCCATTATCTTTTTTTTTCTTTCCATTCTCTTGTGTTTCATCATCGTCATCATCACCATCATTATTATCACCATCTACGTCATCATCTCCGTCTTCGTCATCATCTCCATCGTCATCGTCGTCGTCTTCATCAGGTGATGCATTCACGACGCATAGCGGCCAGCCATTCACTACCAAAGACCGCGACAACGACAACTGGTCGAGCAAGAACTGCGCCCGTGAATACCATGGTGCATGGTGGTTCAACTCCTGCTACTATGCCTCCCTCAACGGCGAGTACCTACGAGGGATATCGGAGAGTTACGGTACGGGGATCGTCTGGTATCAATGGCACGGCTATTACTACTCTCTCAAACGCACGGAAATGAAAATTAGACCAGCCGACTGACTTCTAGACTAGGAACTATCGAATAGAACGGATGACATTTCATGCACAAAATAGACAATGCGTCAATATACGTACAAAATTGAATAAGTATTGAAGCTGGAGCCTTTTGGACAAAAGGAATGGGAAAACGCAACTCCAAAATATCTAAAGCCTATTGAACACGAAGCATTATTATCCTACTACAACCATTCACCCGCAAACTGATTGTTAAATTAAAAATAATTCATACCACAGTAACAAGTGAACAATGAGACCCTTCAGATAACGACAGCGTTGTCACACACATTTTAATGTTCTCTGTGCACCTTATATGCCAGCTTTTCGTCGAAAGTTGATTTCAAACAAATATGAAACCTTGCGCTAGGGCGGCCACTAAAGTAGATCCTAGATACACCAGAACCTGCTTTAAAGAGTTACGTATGTGACCGGAGATTGCCCTGGACATGTTTTGAGCATTTATATGCGTGAATGTCTTCGAATGGCGCAATTAAAATAACGCCTCGTGTGAATTGGGAATAACGTATTCATAGAATAATTCCAACAAATGTTTAGCCTTTTCATGTTCTGCAAGAGGTCGTAGTTAAAGGTACTATGTCCCTTTTGCATGCCAAAAAAATGAAAAGGTTAAATTCCAATGGCATTTGAAAGATAATACTAATTTAGAACTCCCCTTAAAAAAATGAGGCTTGAAAATGTCTTTAAGTGGGAAAATAACGACTATTAGTTGTCAAATCGACTTAGGAGCTATAGAGCCAATAATTGATAGTCTTGATTTTCAGAAAACTGTACCGCATGCTCGTACGTTTTATGCTGCGCAAAGATTCAATCAGTTTAATTATGGCCATTACAAGAAGTGGGTTATTGGTGTAGACAAATCCTTTACAGCTCATTTTATGTATATTATTACCAAAGAAGAAGAAAAAGCCAGTCAGTCACTCAATACTGACAATAGTGTCTGACATTGAAGTCTAGCATGTAAACGGGTTTCCTTGCATAATTTGAATATTAGGACACTGCTAATGTTTAAATTTCACAGATAGGACATACATGACATATTCATAATTCCTGCAAAGTTCTACAGAATTTGAGGTTTGCTGCAAAAGGGACATAGTATCTTTAAGGTGGAAGAAATTTTTAGAAATATATTGTCTTACACACATTGCACACGAGGCGTCATTCGTCTGACGTAGAACTGCGTCAGCAACTGGCGCATCCTTTGACGCAACAAGGTTCATGCAATATTCAACAGTACAACATTGCCTTTCGCATGTTTGTTTAGCACAGGTATTAATGACGAAATCGAAATGACACCTCGGGCAATGCAACGGGCATCGGGACGAGAGCTTGATATGTACATCACGTCAAAAACAACTAAAAACTTTCATGAGATATATTTAGAGATGTTCAGTTATTGCCAAGTTTACGAAACTAAATAAATTTCTGTATTTCATTATCTAGAATAAGGCCTGTGACAAACATACGTTGCGTGATGAAATACATTTGTTAAGATCTTTGAGGCCTTTACCAACAATATTAGGTATTATATTTATAACTTTACACTTAAATACAATGTCAATTTTCAAATCCTCATATTAATATAATACACGGTATTTTTCACTTCCAGTTTCATGTACAGCGACATGTGTAAATTAAATGTGTCTTAATTTCAAAGATTAAAATAGTTCCGTGACAAATGTTAATTCTGACGTATCCTGCGTTGTTTCTTTGTCTTAAGTTTTCAAATAGATCATTAGTACGATCGCAAAGTATTTCGAAAAATCACCCTATGAAAAATTCAATAGTCCTGTCTATCACCAACTGAAATGGGCGAACATTACAAGGACACATTGCGTAATCCGTACTTAATTTCTACGGGATATACTGTACACCAGCTTATTGAATAGCCCTTGAGTTGATTTCTCGAAAGTCTTTGCGATCGCGTTAATTGTGCGATACCCATAGTTAATTTATATTACAGTGATGTATCGAGCAAGCATACGACCCTCTAGTAAGACTACGATGACTACCCCCGGACAACTACCCCCGAACAACTAACGCCAGACAACTACCCCCTAGGATAGTTGTCCGGGGGTAGTTGTCCTAGAGAATGGTTGTGGTAGGGGGTAGTTGTTTCGGGGGAAGTCTTCCGGGTAGTTGTCCTAGGTGTAGTCGTCCTATAGTATGGTTGCCCTAGTTGGTAGGTGTCCTAGGGGGTGGTTGTCCTAGGGGGTAGTTTTCCTAGAGGGTGCTTATCCTAGGGATGGTTATCCGGGGGATGGTTGTCCAGGGGTAGGTGTCCTAGAACCCTCATACACATCTCCTTTGGATGAGATTCTGATTATCAATTTCTGGATACATCAATGAACTTTCAACGGGTTTAAAATAATCGGGTAAGCCGTAAACAAATTTTAGGCAGACATATCATATTTAAATGATCAAGAGAGGATGAGAGTATGTTTTGATTTCATCAAACTGTAAAATGATTTGTTTTTATGTTACGTACGAATTCAATAAGATTTTTAAAAATGAGATTTTTTTTTCGTGTTGAAAGAAAAATATTTTTTTAGACAGAATAACCCATGCTAGCGAATAACTGGGTTATTTCAAATGGGGTCCTACGCTTAATTCTAGATTAGGAAACTGGGAAGCAAAACGGATATAAAATTATGATCAGGAAGAGAATATTGTACCCCGGTAAGATAATTAGATTTAAATTAATAGTTTAAACATATTTGTGGCTTACACCCAGTAAATAAGATCGATTGATCGATCTGTAATTGAAAAACAAGTCAGAAAAAATCTTGGAACCAGCGGGATTTGAACCTGCCATCTACTGCTTGCCGGGCAGCGACTCTACTACCAGGCCATCACTGGTCCATGGCACAGTCATGATGAACTAGAAACAAATACCCAAGCTCTCCTGATTCATTCTGACTTATTAATATTCATTGGTCCGCCATAGGACAATAACTTTTATAAGACCATAGGACAATAACTTTTATAAATGTAATGCTTATTTACTGGGTGTAAGCCACAAATATGTTTAAACTATTGAAATTTCTCCCAGGAAGCATTACATTTATAATAGATTAAAATTGTTGATCATTAATTCGATTCAACCTTTGGATCAGTGTTTGAATAGATATGCAATAGACAAATATAGACATTAATGAAGCTATTATCACGAACATTGAACTTTATTACCGATTGCTGAATATAAACACAAATCCAAGGGCCAAGGGTGAGGGGATGAAAGGGGGTTGGAGTTCATCAAACTTACAGGCCTACAATCATAGTATATGCGGTAAAAGCTATTTATAGTACATGTTATACAGTCATAATATATATGCAGTATTATGGTAATGATTGTATATGCGGTATGTATTCAAGGGAGTAAGTGCGGTAAATACTTTGTAGCGGACATGCATGGTGTGTCAAGAATATGTATTCAGAAATTTTGAGGAGGTGCAATGGCTCAGTGGTACTGGTAGACGAGTGGTTTCGTAACCGGAAGGTCCAGGTTTTCAGACCAAGTCAACGCGCTTGTGCTCTTCGTAAGGCATGAAATTCTCATTACCAAGTCCCTAAGAGAGGACATATAAAGCCGTCCGTCCCCTAATTGCTTACTTAAAAGCATACTCAAGCCTTCTTAGCGGTCAGCGAAAACATTACCCATATTCTCCAAATGCTCCAAATACGGGGGACACGGTGTTTTGTCATTCGGTATTACAAAACTCTTATAGCCAAGAATGCTCCTTCATAGAGACATCTCTTTATCTTGGAAAGGATCCAACAACTAAAATCAATATTGGGGTACTGCCCCCACCACCGTACTTGCGCCAATGCAAAACCGTTGAGAGGCAGTCTGCTGAAGATAAAACAAAGCGCACACTTAGTTTTTCATTGCCTGCATATTGTGCTGACAGAGAAGAGGGCGGGAAACATCTTTATGAGTTTTCACTATGCCGGGGCAAGGTTACAAACCGTTTCAAAACGAGGAAGAACTGCCACAGGTAGGATATGAATCACTACTTTACATCAGTGAGAGCGTTAGTAAGAATCAACCACGCTAGATAGTCTCCGAACAATTCGACCTCCGAGGCAATAGACCGTTTTACTCAAACGTATTGTCGGACCTAGCAACAAATAGTCTATGCAGACTAGATTCCAAGTATTGTAGTTCATTCATTAATAATAGGTTAATGGACTACCTCGTAACTAGGTCCCCAGGAAAGAAACAAGTCTAAAATATAACTTAAGTTTACAATTTAAGTAACTTTTTTCTTAAACAATGAAATATCAAAAATGTTTTTTTTCTGTAGATTTGTAACGTCCCTTGAGAGACCAATGATGAGAGCAACCAGTGGCATGAATGGCCTGTCATAGTTCAAGTCCAACTTAAGTCGATTTTAGTCTTTGTGAAACACCCAAGGTTAAATGCACACTCTCAACCTGAGGTTTTATTAGGATGTAAAAGTCAATTAATCAGAAGTCTCAGTAGCTGACTGAACATCTTGTCGGTTTCCTTTGCATTTAGAGTGGTCAAAATGATACAACATCCAAGCCAACGAATAATGCAAATACCGGCGCCATGGGTCAACCTATGGCGGGTCCCGGTCAACCGTTGATGGCACCCGGTCAACCAGTGAATAAATCTGGTCAACCAGTGAATATATCTGGTCAACCGATGATGGCAACCGGTCAACCAATGAATGTATCCGGTCAACCAGTGAATACATCTGGTCAACCGATGACGGCAACCGGTCAACCGATGATGACACCCGGTCCACCAATAAATGCATCCGGTCAACCAGTGAATACATCTGGTCAACCAATGATGGCAACCGGTCAACCGATGAATGCATATGGTCAACCGTTGATGGCGCCCGGTCAACCAATCAATGCATCGGGTCAACCGATGATGACACCCGGTCAGCCGATATTAGCACCCGGTCAATATGGATACAACCTTAACCAGAGTCAGTTTCCCTACGTGGTAAACCAGCAACCCGGTATGCCGAGGGAAATGCAACTGATGCCACCGCCATCGGCTGTTCCCGGTTGTCCTCCTGGCCTGGAATACTTGGTCCAGTTAGACCAACTACTTGTTCATCAGCAGATCGAACTTGCGGAAGGTGAGTCCCAGAATCTTAGTTTACGACATTATATAATTACATTTGTAGCGCCCACACCCCGAGGGAGGGGGCATACCTATTAAAGGAAGACAAAATAAGAAAGGTGTTGACTGAGATGCGTGGCAAAAACAAAGTCTTTATTACTTAATCTTCTACAATAACAGTCTTTTCTTACAATAACATATATACGATCAAATGGCATAACATTAACAATACTCTTCAAGTATTAAACACAAATAAATCTACCCGTTCGCATACATTGAATCATGAGCTCTCTGTGTTCTCTTTCTATATCACTAAGAACATCATCTGGGAAAGTTTCATTACATTACTATCTCTAAACGAAACTATCCTTACTTTAATGCTTTATTTAAAAGCGCAACTCTTCATCGATCTCATAATCATAACTTGGCTACTAATAAATAACTTAACCCTTATCAAATGTCTATAACATTGCGGTATCAGTCAATCTACTTTAGCTTCTAATCATATAACTCTTCACTTAGCGTCTCTTTCAAGAAATCACATATATAGACCTAATACAAGAATGTTGGCATAATCATCCCTATACTATTGCCTAATAAGCTTTCTACTCTTTACGCTCCAAGACTGAGGATCCCTTGTGCACATAGACCCTTAGAATGTAATTCTACTCTCAGCCTTCACTAATCCCTAAATTCACAAGTTACTTCTTGTCTCAGGACTTCACATTAATACTGAATAAACTTATAACTCTTCCTTAACTATAGCTCATGTATTTTCCAATAGTCATCTGCATCACTTTGATCTAATACTATCTTTTTCAGCGAGATTACTGAACTTGAAAAGATACATCTTCAACAACTTATATCCTAAACTCCTTACAATATTCACAGAACTGGCAAATAGTCTTAGTCTGCAGTCTGTACTAATAGCTCTATAGCAAACTTACAACCAATATTACGAATTCCTCTTACTGTATAATCTCATCTTCACATACAGTTCATATTCTAATTCTAAACAACAACCAATAGTTTTACTAAATACATGTATATTCATTTCATGGTTATATACAAAGCAAAGTGAGAGTGAAAGAGAAAGGGTGAACCATACAGAGAGAGAGAGAGAGAGAGAGAGAGAGAGGGAGAGAGAAGGGGAATAGAGAGAGAGAGAGAGAGAGGGGGGGGGTACAAAGAGAGAGAGGAGAGAGAGAGAGAGTGAGTAATTCCCAATAACATTTAACCTGAATAATCATTCCTAACAATATAATACAATGAAGTTCACACTGTGATTATGCAAGTCTTCAACTACAATATTCCATCAACCAATTCAACTCTAGCCTCCTTGCTCTATAGCTAACTACTAGACTGTGTGACCATGTGTTTCTCAACAAGTGCATATCCAACTCAAATCCTTTGTCTTCTCATTTTGTAATCATGCTGACTCTATCAAACTTTCATTCCCACCAAAGATAACATTTCCAGCATGGGTCAAAAACAAACACATTCTATCTCTAACACTTCTCAGTTAACATAGCATTTGGGTATAGCATATACTCTATCTACACTGTGTGCGTGTAATGCATTGCAGTGGATGGTCAAGCTTGGGGGGAGAGGGGATTAAGAACTCTGATAAGAAGTTGTGTTCACATTGAACGCACTGCCATAACCTAATAACACACTAGTATTATACACATGGTGCGTCCACACTCGCTAATAGTTTAGAAATACACATATTATGAACAACAAGAATATATCACAATTTAATAATATAAGATTCTTTCTTACCTATTAAAGGAAGACAAAATAAGAAAGGTGTTGACTGAGATGCGTGGCAAAAACAAAGTGAGAAGCCACTCCTGGTATCCCAGCTGGTGTGTTTAGGTTGGTTGTGGGTGAGGCCACTCTCGCAGGAGGGGGTACCTAATTAACTAAGAGGAGGGACTATATGGGGGCTAGAAATATACTTGTGTCATACATACATAGTCAAAGATATACAAAAAAATAGGGGGGGGGGTATTCTGTGGGGCTCCACACCTTCCCCTCCAAAAATAAATGTCTCCTGGACATTTCAACTTTCAAACATTTATAACAATTCATTAATATAGTACAACATTTCTAATGTTCATTAAGTTCTAGTTCAATGTCGTCATGAGCTTAGGACCGATCAAGGAGGTGAGACTTATCACCAAAGTCCATGAAAGTCTATGTCCTTGTAACGCTGACAGATCATCGTGCTCCAATTCTTCTGCGAAATACATGTAGTACATCGAGTTCATATATATACACTTGTTGCAACTTGTTATAGCGAAACCTAATAGGTACTTGAAGTCTCAGAATTACATATCATAATATCGTATCAGAATTACGTGGCTTTTTCTTCCATACAAATAAACTTTGCGAAACATTAACCCATTCTACGGGCGCGCCTGACAAACGGTGAAGGTTTCTTGGAAAGCTCGAGACTCATTCCGAAGACTTTATCACAAAGATCAATTGATCACTATCGAGTGTCATCGCTTGTTTCCTTATATTACACCACAATTCATGAAACGATTTACAACTTGTTTCATCTTAGTACTTCTCATTACTCGTATTTCTGGTTTATTAAACAGCTAGCACACATGATTCTATATAACGATGCATCTAATGTAAAAATTTAAAAAAAATCAGTTTGAGGCATTCCTCAATGATGGACTCGCTTGCTAGGAAAATTTCAGCTGGTCTTCTGTCATCTGACGTTGGTAGAGGGTTAGTTGCTCGTGGGCTATCGGCGTCTGCATCTGTAGAGGCATTTGATGAGGGTAGAATGGTGGGTCATACCGGTACTAGAAAGGTGCTGGAGGCTGGGCTGTTGAGGATGGCGGCTTGGAGAACCCCTGGACATCCTTGACTCCACTCACTGCTCCGCCATCTATTTCCTCCCAGTAAGGGTGAAGCTTTCCTTGGCCACCTGGAGGGGCCAGACTTCGCACCAGGGCCCTATCACCTTGCCGTAGCACCCTGCTGCGTACTGCACGGTAGCCTTTTCTCTTCTCTGTAGCTCGTCCCATTTTCTGTGATGCTGAGCCAATGTCATTGTCAAATCAGGTTCTCTCCGTCACTCTGTCTTCTGGTCCTGTATCGTTTGCTCGCTGCTCTTCTCTTTCGATTGATCCAACTGTTCGTGTCATAGGACAGCACATCGTCCTCGTGTCCCTTCGACGATGGCCGTCCTGGCAAGGTCGCCAAATTTGTAGCGCCCACACCCCGAGGGAGGGGGCATACCTATTAAAGGAAGACAAAATAAGAAAGGTGTTGACTGAGATGCGTGGCAAAAACAAAGTCTTTATTACTTAATCTTCTACAATAACAGTCTTTTCTTACAATAACATATATACGATCAAATGGCATAACATTAACAATACTCTTCAAGTATTAAACACAAATAAATCTACCCGTTCGCATACATTGAATCATGAGCTCTCTGTGTTCTCTTTCTATATCACTAAGAACATCATCTGGGAAAGTTTCATTACATTACTATCTCTAAACGAAACTATCCTTACTTTAATGCTTTATTTAAAAGCGCAACTCTTCATCGATCTCATAATCATAACTTGGCTACTAATAAATAACTTAACCCTTATCAAATGTCTATAACATTGCGGTATCAGTCAATCTACTTTAGCTTCTAATCATATAACTCTTCACTTAGCGTCTCTTTCAAGAAATCACATATATAGACCTAATACAAGAATGTTGGCATAATCATCCCTATACTATTGCCTAATAAGCTTTCTACTCTTTACGCTCCAAGACTGAGGATCCCTTGTGCACATAGACCCTTAGAATGTAATTCTACTCTCAGCCTTCACTAATCCCTAAATTCACAAGTTACTTCTTGTCTCAGGACTTCACATTAATACTGAATAAACTTATAACTCTTCCTTAACTATAGCTCATGTATTTTCCAATAGTCATCTGCATCACTTTGATCTAATACTATCTTTTTCAGCGAGATTACTGAACTTGAAAAGATACATCTTCAACAACTTATATCCTAAACTCCTTACAATATTCACAGAACTGGCAAATAGTCTTAGTCTGCAGTCTGTACTAATAGCTCTATAGCAAACTTACAACCAATATTACGAATTCCTCTTACTGTATAATCTCATCTTCACATACAGTTCATATTCTAATTCTAAACAACAACCAATAGTTTTACTAAATACATGTATATTCATTTCATGGTTATATACAAAGCAAAGTGAGAGTGAAAGAGAAAGGGTGAACCATACAGAGAGAGAGAGAGAGAGAGAGAGGGAGAGAGAAGGGGAATAGAGAGAGAGAGAGAGAGAGAGAGAGAGGGGGGGGGGGGGGTACAAAGAGAGAGAGGAGAGAGAGAGAGAGTGAGTAATTCCCAATAACATTTAACCTGAATAATCATTCCTAACAATATAATACAATGAATTTCACACTGTGATTATGCAAGTCTTCAACTACAATATTCCATCAACCAATTCAACTCTAGCCTCCTTGCTCTATAGCTAACTACTAGACTGTGTGACCATGTGTTTCTCAACAAGTGCATATCCAACTCAAATCCTTTGTCTTCTCATTTTGTAATCATGCTGACTCTATCAAACTTTCATTCCCACCAAAGATAACATTTCCAGCATGGGTCAAAAACAAACACATTCTATCTCTAACACTTCTCAGTTAACATAGCATTTGGGTATAGCATATACTCTATCTACACTGTGTGCGTGTAATGCATTGCAGTGGATGGTCAAGCTTGGGGGGAGAGGGGATTAAGAACTCTGATAAGAAGTTGTGTTCACATTGAACGCACTGCCATAACCTAATAACACACTAGTATTATACACATGGTGCGTCCACACTCGCTAATAGTTTAGAAATACACATATTATGAACAACAAGAATATATCACAATTTAATAATATAAGATTCTTTCTTACCTATTAAAGGAAGACAAAATAAGAAAGGTGTTGACTGAGATGCGTGGCAAAAACAAAGTGAGAAGCCACTCCTGGTATCCCAGCTGGTGTGTTTAGGTTGGTTGTGGGTGAGGCCACTCTCGCAGGAGGGGGTACCTAATTAACTAAGAGGAGGGACTATATGGGGGCTAGAAATATACTTGTGTCATACATACATAGTCAAAGATATACAAAAAAATAGGGGGGGGGGTATTCTGTGGGGCTCCACACCTTCCCCTCCAAAAATAAATGTCTCCTGGACATTTCAACTTTCAAACATTTATAACAATTCATTAATATAGTACAACATTTCTAATGTTCATTAAGTTCTAGTTCAATGTCGTCATGAGCTTAGGACCGATCAAGGAGGTGAGACTTATCACCAAAGTCCATGAAAGTCTATGTCCTTGTAACGCTGACAGATCATCGTGCTCCAATTCTTCTGCGAAATACATGTAGTACATCGAGTTCATATATATACACTTGTTGCAACTTGTTATAGCGAAACCTAATAGGTACTTGAAGTCTCAGAATTACATATCATAATATCGTATCAGAATTACGTGGCTTTTTCTTCCATACAAATAAACTTTGCGAAACATTAACCCATTCTACGGGCGCGCCTGACAAACGGTGAAGGTTTCTTGGAAAGCTCGAGACTCATTCCGAAGACTTTATCACAAAGATCAATTGATCACTATCGAGTGTCATCGCTTGTTTCCTTATATTACACCACAATTCATGAAACGATTTACAACTTGTTTCATCTTAGTACTTCTCATTACTCGTATTTCTGGTTTATTAAACAGCTAGCACACATGATTCTATATAACGATGCATCTAATGTAAAAATTTAAAAAAAATCAGTTTGAGGCATTCCTCAATGATGGACTCGCTTGCTAGGAAAATTTCAGCTGGTCTTCTGTCATCTGACGTTGGTAGAGGGTTAGTTGCTCGTGGGCTATCGGCGTCTGCATCTGTAGAGGCATTTGATGAGGGTAGAATGGTGGGTCATACCGGTACTAGAAAGGTGCTGGAGGCTGGGCTGTTGAGGATGGCGGCTTGGAGAACCCCTGGACATCCTTGACTCCACTCACTGCTCCGCCATCTATTTCCTCCCAGTAAGGGTGAAGCTTTCCTTGGCCACCTGGAGGGGCCAGACTTCGCACCAGGGCCCTATCACCTTGCCGTAGCACCCTGCTGCGTACTGCACGGTAGCCTTTTCTCTTCTCTGTAGCTCGTCCCATTTTCTGTGATGCTGAGCCAATGTCATTGTCAAATCAGGTTCTCTCCGTCACTCTGTCTTCTGGTCCTGTATCGTTTGCTCGCTGCTCTTCTCTTTCGATTGATCCAACTGTTCGTGTCATAGGACAGCACATCGTCCTCGTGTCCCTTCGACGATGGCCGTCCTGGCAAGGTCGCCAAATTTGTAGCGCCCACACCCCGAGGGAGGGGGCATACCTATTAAAGGAAGACAAAATAAGAAAGGTGTTGACTGAGATGCGTGGCAAAAACAAAGTCTTTATTACTTAATCTTCTACAATAACAGTCTTTTCTTACAATAACATATATACGATCAAATGGCATAACATTAACAATACTCTTCAAGTATTAAACACAAATAAATCTACCCGTTCGCATACATTGAATCATGAGCTCTCTGTGTTCTCTTTCTATATCACTAAGAACATCATCTGGGAAAGTTTCATTACATTACTATCTCTAATTTACATCATTTACAATTTAATCATGTGGAATATGTCGCAATAAACTGAAACTAAAACAGAAAAAATGAAAAAGCCAATGGAAGTTTAAAAAAAATAATATCATTTGGACTTAAAATTATCACTATGCCATCAATTTACCAATAATTTCCCCCTTATACTTCACACACAATTTAATGTGGACTGTCAGGTGATGTAATTCTAAGAGCAAGCCGCCCTTAGCCGATATCTGGCCACATCCCCAGAATACAGAGTTCGTCTAACCCGATGGGACTATAGGGCGCCGCTCAGTGGCGACCACCACTGGATTTGTTCTCCCCATCTTTTGGATTATTTGTTACTATTTTGTCTTATTTTGTGAGTGCACTTTGACCTTCATCATGTTTTCCATAACTGTGAGATTAGCCATGGCTACCTTTTGGATATTTTTGATCCTCGCATCGGTGTTTTTGACTGGTTCTGCCCTGAAAGTCGAACACCAACTGAATAGCCTTGTATACACACGGACTGAGATGCTCAACCTACGCGGCGCCACGGGGGATGCTCGACCCCTCGGATATGAGGACTTTCCACCCGAGATCAAACCACGTAAGAGAGGTAAGAGGGGCGGAATAAGGACAAGGCTGAGAAAGAGAGGAACAAAACCGGCCCTCCCTTCAATAATATTGGGGAATGTACGCTCGTTGCCTAATAAGATGGAAGAACTTGAAACACTTTCTAGATACATGAACGAATACCGAGATTCTTGTCTATTAGCATTTACAGAAACATGGTTGAAAGAAAGCATTCCCGACAATGTTATTGATATTCCACATTTTGATGTAGTAAGAGGAGACAGAACAGAACAGTCAGGGAAAAGCAAAGGAGGAGGCGTATGTCTATATATCAACCAAAAGTGGTGTAATAATTGGGATGTCAAGGATGTCGTTTGTCTGCCCGATATTGAACTCATTACAGTGGGACTCCGACCTTTCTATCTTCCCCGTGAATTTCCCCAGATATTCATTACTGTGGTCTACATTCACCCCCGTGCTGATGTTGAAATTGCCAGTGAATTACTAGCTGCTAAAGTAAATCATCGTGCTTCGTTGTCCCCTGATGCCCCTACATTCATAATGGGTGACTTTAACCAATGTCACTTGAATGGTGTACTTCCCACGTTTGAACAATATATTGACATACCAACAAGAAATGGAGCTACCCTAGATAAGTGCTATGGTAACATTCCTAAAGCATACGTTGGAAAACCGTGTCATCGTCTAGGAAAGTCCGATCACCAAAACATCCGCTTACTACCGGCTTACAAGCAAAAGTTGAAAAGAAGCCGGCCCGTCACTAAGCAACGGTACGCGTGGACTGATGACTCAACGGAGGAACTCCGAGCAGCCTTTGACTGTACGGATTGGGATCTATTGTTCAACTCAGCGAGCTCACTAGACGAAGCCACTGATGCTATCACAAGTTATGTCAAGTTTTGTGTCGACTCGATTATACCCCTTAAAACGTTTAAAATGTTTCCCAACAATAAGCCATGGGTTACAAAGGAACTCCGGGACCTGCTGAAGGTAAAGAATGGTGCACTCATCAACGGTAACAAGACGCGTGTCAAAGAGATACAAAGGGAAATTAAACGCTTAGTTGACTCTTGTAAAATGTCTTATAAAAACAAGCTCGAAAATAACTTTCGAAATAACAAACCTGCTGCTGCCTGGAAAACGATGGAGGTGATTACTGGGTATAAACCAAAGCCCAAGACTCTGGGATTTGACATAACACAGGACTTTGTCGATGAACTGAATGACTTCTATTGTAGATATGATAAAAAGTTTACAGTTGAAAATGACGTAATTGCACTCAGACTAAGGCAAATGTTAAGTGAATCTGAAAATGTAATTTGTATCTCTGAACATGATGTTAGGCGATGTTTTGGGGCACTTAAAACTAATAAAGCCCCAGGGCCTGACGGTATCTGTAACAAAGTACTCAAGCTTTGTAGGGATCAGTTAGCCGGGGTATTTAATGAACTTTTCAACCATTCACTGGAAAAGGGACATATCCCGACTCTTTGGAAAACATCCCTGATAAAACCAATTCCTAAAGGGAAGAAAGTGAAGGAACTTAATGACCTTCGACCCATTTCACTCACTTGTAGTGTTATGAAATGTTTCGAAAAGATCATGATGAAGTACCTTCTTGAATACACTTCCCCCTACATTGACCCCATGCAGTTTGCATACAGATGTAAGAGAGGAGTTGACGATGCAGTACTAACATACCTACATAAGGTATATGCCCATTTAGACAAGGCTAAGACCTATGTAAGATCCACTTTCGTGGATTTTTCTAGTGCTTTCAACACTATTATCCCCCACCTTCTGATAAACAAACTCATTGATATGGAAGTCCCTCCCCAGTTAAGTCTGTGGATACAGAGTTTCTTAAGTGACAGACCACAGAGAGTGGTCTTAGGTAACGCCTTATCCTGTCCAAGAATTGTAAATACAGGGGCGCCCCAGGGCTGTGTCATCTCCCCCGCGCTCTTCTCCCTCTACACAAGTGACTGTCTATGTAATGTAGGAGAGTGCAGTATCATCAAATATGCGGATGATACTGTAATCACAGGTTATCTTTCTGAAGATGTAGACCCATACGTTAAGGTTATAGATGAGTTTGTTAAATGGTGCAATGACCACTTCCTAATACTAAACGTAACTAAAACAAAAGAGATCATAATTGATTTTCGCCGAAACCCCTTCGATCATACCCCGATTTTGATAAATGATACTCCTGTAGAACAAGTTACAGAGTACAGGTATTTAGGTACTACTATCTCAAAGTCACTTGATTGGACTAAGAACATTGTAGACATCCAAAAGAAAGCCAACCAGAGACTATACTTTATTAGGGTAATGAAAAACTTAAGAGTAGATAGTAAGTTGATAGAACTGTTCTTTAAGTCCCTAATTCAGAGTGTCCTAACCTTCAACCTAATTTGCTATTATGCAAACGCTAAAATTGCTGCCAAGAAACTACTCGAACGTCCCAGAAAGGCAGCAAAACGTATCATAGGAGCCGATCTAACATCCATAGAAGATCTGTATCAGAAAAATGCCCTCTCTAAAGTAAAACAAATAATGCATGACCCCTCGCACCCACTGAATGAGCATTTCAATTATAACAGATCTGGAATACGCCTGTGCACACCACGAACCCAACGTGCACGTTTCCGAAGATCCTTTATCCCCGACTCCATTCATCTTTTCAATTCCAAAGCAAAACGTGTTTGATTACTATGAACCTACCATGTAATGTATCAATATAAATGTATATGCCATGAATACTGTATCCAACTATTAACTAACGTTTGAGCCAGTAACTACAACTTATGTGTCATCAATAAACTTAACAATAATAACGATGCCGGTATTAATTATACTATTGAAAATAGTAATCAATAATAATAATAATAATAATAGTAATAATAATAATAATAATTCATGTATTTATTATCATTTTAAGATTTAATATGGAATAATCAATGAATATTAAATAATTTAGCTTCATATTTTGTAAAATGGAATCTGATATTATCTCTTCAACCACCATACCGCCATATATACAGTGGCTTACTCACTTATTATCTCATTCTTTATGTATGCTTATCATAATGTTCATGTTCATCACTGTCTTGTAATATTTCATGTATATATTTGTATTGTAATACTCTGTAACCAGTGGAAAACAAATTTCCTGTAAAGGACAATAAATTCTTATACTATACTATAAAGAGGCACACAGTGAAACAAATCTTGCTTTGTTGGGCAAATAGAAAACAAAAAGAATACACGCCAGCTGAAACCAAGTTGGTCAAACTAAGTGAATAGAATTAATGGTTCTGTGACAAGTCAGAGCCATCTATACACAGAGTTAGGCCAACCTGGTTTCATCAGGTAACCGACATGGCATATATTCTTTTGTTTTGTGCTTGCCCAACAAAACAGTAGTCGCCATATTTGCCCGAATTCACAAAGAAGGTTTGTCGACAAACCTTGGTTTTCGTTCGTCATATGACGCGTTTTGACGCGTTTTTACAGGTAAACGCGTCAAAACGCGTCAAAACGCGTCAAAACGCGTCATATGACGTACATAAACCTCAGTTTGTCGACAAACCTCCTTTGTGAATTCGGGCCAATGTGTCCAACTCGAGCCGGGTTGACCAAACTCTTTGTATAGATGGCTCTGTGAGTGACATGTGACGTAACAGCGCCATCTAGTATTAGAGAACACGACGAACGCCGACTGATCATGCGTGTCAACGTACTCAACTGCCCATGTTGACTACAATTAGAAATCTTAGATTGCACCCGACGATAAACATGCAGAACATCCCTTCACTGCTATTATGTAAAAATGTGTAGAACAGGTGAATATGCATGTGACACCTGTTCTACACATTTGTACATAATAGCAGGGAAGGGATCGATGTTCCTTTGTCTACCTGAGGAACTGTATATTTTATGCGCACGCGGCATGCAGATGCTAGTACAGTACTAGATTTAGGAAAATCAAGGTTGACGCATTCTCGATCGCCGACTGAGACGACGTGACGCATGCGCAGTGCCTTAAAATGACGTCACACGTTGCGGTCAAAGCTGTCGACGTGCAAATCTAAAAGTCCCTATTACAAGGGACGGGTGTGGAAAGTCTTCACCACTTTCTTTTCGCATTGATCTAACCTTTTCTTCTATCTTTTTCTCTAAGTGATTCGACTTTGAGAAGGGGGGGGGGGGGGGCACTGCCCCGAGCCCCTGTTACCACGCCACTATCGAACTCTCTGGGCAAACTCCCAGTCTAACACCCAATCAATATTATGGATCCAATATTATCATTAAGAATCATTGCGCAAAGCAATGTCAATAAATAGG